CTGTGAACCTAAAAATTTACAGCCAATTTTGAAAGAGATGCATCTTTGCTCTGGAAATTGTTATTGAATATGTCAATGCTGTAATGAAATGCTCCTTCTAATCATGTGCTTATTAAATAAATAATTAAAAAAAGAAATGATAGCACATGGGTTTCGATCCAAATGAACCTAAAATTCATGAGTCAGGGCTGGGGGAGATGACTCAATGGGTAAAGAACTTGCCATGCAGGCTTGAGGACCTGAGTTCAGATCCCCAGAACCCAGGTAAAACTGGATGTGGCACTGTGTATCTATAACCCCAATGCTTCTATAGTGAGATGTGAGGTACAGATGGGAGATGCAAGGGCCTTCTAGCCACAGGAGCAAATAAGAGATCCTGTCTCAAAGAGGAAGGTGAGAATGGACCTGAAGTTGTTTGATCTACACATACATCGGGGCCTGCATACACACACATGCACACACACACACGCATGCACACACACACACACACACACACATGCACACGCGCGTGCGCCCCCCCACATACACAAAGATTTAGGCAATCAGGGCGATTTGCACACACTACTCAGTTGATGATCAAAGATGTTATTTGTTTCTTTAAGCAAGATAATGGCACTGGCTTCTATACTCTTAAGACATTCCTTATTAGTAATTTATACTGAAATATTTATCGACGGCACACACAGTGTTTGAGGCTGGCTTTACAATGCCTCAGAGGAGGGGGTTCATGAGAGGAATGAAATAATTGTAGTGATAACTGAACTTGAAGGATGAGCACCCTGAGGACACATCATACCATCTTCTCTAGTTGTGTGTGTGTTTAAAAATCCCATGTAAAGAGTTAAAAACAGAAAATGGAGATTCATCAGTGAACATAAATATCTGGGCCCCATTCCAATTCTGAATGAATTTGAATTTAACTGACACTGGGCATCAGCTATGTCCTTTAAACTTCCCAGGGGACTGTATTATGTATCTATGGTTAAGAAAGGAGAATCAAGCACTCAAAATATGCATAATCTGACCATATTTATGTTTTAAAATAGTTTTCAACATTAGTAAGAATTCACTTCAAACGAACAACTCTCCTGGTGGTAGGCTCATAGGAGAGACTTTTAGTTTTCCCTTGATTGTGTTTTTTCTTTGCTGTTTGCTTGTTTGAAGTTCTGTCTCACTAAGTATCCCAGGCTGGCCTCAGACTTTAAATCCTCCTGCCTCACCCCACTGAACATTGGAATCACAGGCCTGCCCCACCACCCCAGCTTGGCATATTATTGTTGTATTGTTTAGAACATTTACAAGTGAGTTGTGGTTATGACTTAAAAGAAAATGTTTACAACTGAAAACATATCAAAATCCAAACAGCATGCACTGCAAAGTAGGGTGCTTCCCCCACAGGCACTGGAGGAACAGGCAGCACGGGCACTATTGGCAAAGGGGATAATGGGAGGCAGTGTTAGGTAATGGGTCAGAGGCTCACTTTGGGGCTCCAGAGTGGGGCCCATCTCTGCAAAGGTTCCACCTATTGGCTGGGAAGCCAGTAGGCTCCAGGGACGGGAATGTTAGATTCTGATCGCTGATGAACCAGATGGGCTGTTCTAGCTTCCCCTTATACAATGAGTTCTCTGGGGCTGAGGGTGGCCTATCGCTCTGTCTTTTGCTGTGGGGCTGCTGCCAAGTTGTATGAGTTGTCTGGTGCCCTGAGCAACGCTCCTCCACATTCCCTATTGGCACAGGGAAGGGTGTGTACTCTGATGATGTGTGATAAGGGCTCTGCTTCCTCTTCTGCCCCCTGCAGGCCAGCTATGGAACTGCTCTGGACACCTCTGTTGCTGGTGTCTGCTTGTGTCTCTGGTGTCCTTGGCTCACCAGAGATAGAGGCCAGTATCATTCCCAACCCCGTTCACATCCTGGAGGAGCACAACCTGATGGTGCTGACGCCTGCTGGTCTGACACAAACACTGAACCAGACTCGCTTCCTAATGGTGCTTTTCCGTGAGTATTCAGCGCTGGGAGTGAAGAGGGGTGATGCCAGTCTCCTTGTTTTGGAGGATTGGAGGGTTACATATACTGTTAAATGCATAGAAAACACAGGAATAAAGATATTCATTATAAAATATTCATATACTGTAGCATACATAATATAAAAAACTAATGCTATAATATATACAAATTATTATGATATAAATATATAAAAAACTATAA